AATACAGCTTACCCCTCGAGGTGGGGCTATCATGTAATGAATTTCTCCACCCCCATCAGTTGATGTCTTCGGTGTAAACTGGGGAAAAGGGAACTTTCTATCTGATTGTCCCAAAACACATCAGGTCAACTCAAAGTTACACCCAAGGAGTCATCCTGGGATTGCTGACTAATGTAGTAGATCTAGACCTGCTCCTGGCTGAGCATTATGGGAAGTCAGCTGACTTAACCTGACTAGTGGACAATCAGTGATATGGAAGAAAGCTTTCAGGGCTCTTTTTCTAGCAGGAACTCCTTTGCATATTAGGCGACACACCCCTAATGTAGCCAATCCTCTAAGAGCTCACAGTAGAAGAAGAAGAAGAGGAGGAGGAGGAGGAGGAGATTGGATTTATACCCCACCCTTCACTACCCAAAGGTGTCTCAGAGCGGCTTACAAACTCCTTTCCCTCCCCCTCCCCACAACAGACACCCTGTGAGGTGGGTGGGGCTGAGAGAGCTCTGACACAAACTGCTCTTTTTCAAGGACAGCTGTGCCAGAGCTTGTGACTGACCCAAGGTCACATCAGCAGGTGCAAGTGGAGGAGTGGGGAATCAAACCCGGTTCTCCCAGATTAGAGTCCGCGCACTTAACCACTACACCAAACAGTAGCCCCTGTAAGAAGAGCTCTGTAAACTCTTGGAGGATTGGCTACATTAGGGGTGTGTCACCTAATATGCAAAGGATTTCCTGCTACAAAAAGAGCCCATATAGTGAAGAGTGGTGTATAAATCCAATCTCCTCCTCCTCCTCCTCCTCTTCTTCTTCTTCTACTGTGAGCTCTTAGAGGATTGGCTACATTAGGGGTGTGTCACCTAATATGCAAAGGATTTCCTGCTACAAAAAGAGCCCATAAGATCGTCTGACTTGACTTATTAATTCAAAATTGCTACATGATAGTTCTGGCCAATATACAAGCTGTGTGTACTGTATCAGCTTGAAACACGGGAGGACAAAATTTGCTGCGTTTTTATCTGTTAATGCCAGTGCTTTCTATATGATGCGAGGTCAAAAAGGATGGCATGATTTCTTAACACTGATTTAATGTATGAACAGCTACTGCCCAACGGAAAAAATATTTTCACTTGTATTTCTTGTAAACTCAGTCATGTGACCTAGAAGAAGTGATGATGGACGCCCTGGTGAATGATAAGCCAGAATTTGTCAAGTTATTTATTGACAATGGGGCCAACATATATGACTTCCTGACGTACAGCCGGCTGCAGAGACTCTACTGTACCATCTCGCCAAAGTGTCTCCTCTATTCACTTTTGCTTAAAAAACATGAAGAAAATAGACTCACTTTGGCAGGGATGAGTGGTCAACAGCACAAGGAAATGATAGATACTTGCCCACTCTTTACTCTCCATGAAGTTTCCAGGGTGCTGAAGGATTTTTTACATGATGCATGCAGAGGTTTCTATCAAGAACCTAAGTCTGGAAGCAAGAAGAAAACCGTAAGTTTATGAAAGACGAGTCCTGTGGCCTTACCACACTCAGTAGTATTTATGACAGTGGTGCTCAATCCTTGGCTCGAGACCCTCTGGTGGTTCATGGAGCCTCACCCACTGGAGCACAAACCCCTATAGAGTCAAAATGTTTGTGGTAATCATTGGATGCACCTGCTTGCTAGTACACGTGTGGAGAATAAGTTCACCAGATCTCCTGCCTCTCTTTGCACTAGATACCCAAGAGGAGCAACAAGCAAAGTTCCTTTGCGGTGCAACAGAGTCTTCTGTGACTCTAACCCTTGACACGCGGCTCTCTAAAATATAACTCCCGGCTAGTGTTCCCTGACCCTAGCACTTTTGGTCTGCTGCCCATGGTCCTGGCCTTTGCATCAGGGAGGTCATAGTTCTGGCTTCTTATCTGCCTATCACATAACTCTGGTGTCATGTGGCTTCATGCAGGGGTCATTCCGTAGGAAAAGAGGTGCAGGAGCTCATTAGCATAACTTATTTGCATATGCCACACCTCCTGACATCACCGGAAGTGTGTCAGAAGGCGACACCCACCGCTCAGGTTCCACTGGACTGTTTTGGATTGCTAGCTATTGGGGGGGGGGGCGGACATTCAGATCTCTCCTCGCAGAGGAGGGAGAGCTTGTACCTGAATAAAATTTGGTCTTCAAGGTGCCACTGGACTGTTTTGGATCAGGGGGCCGGGGGGGGGGGCTCTGCAACTTACCTGGCTGCTTCCTGCTCTGACTGAGGGCTGCTGGGAGCAGGGGGTGGGGCTTGTTGCATGTGCCCGCCCCCTGGGCTCTTTACTGCCGGAGCTCTGCTTCTGTGCGCTCCTGCAGGAAATAACCCCTGGCTTCATGTAATATTTATTGGTTTGATTTGATTTGTACCCTGCCCTCCCCCATCAAGGTGACTCATTGGCAGCTTAGCTGGTCCCATGTAAGGTGAGTCCTGAGTCTGGACTACGGCACTCTCAATGCCATGAAGCCATAAATGGCAGGCTAGTGTACTGACAAGTAGAACTGTTGTTGAAATATCCCTAATTTACCACTTAAACCAATTCATGTGTTTGGGGCATGTGTCAAAGATGGGGGTTTTCAACCCACCACATCCTTACAAGAATGGTTTTATCCCCCCGTCCCCAGACCTGGGACCCTGGCATAAATCCCCTTCTGATAGTTCGACTGAAACCAGGTTTGAACTCTCACACATGCAACAGAAAACAACAGTAGAAGCAGCAGGCCTTATTAGAAAGATTTTAAAAGAGGTTCAGGCTTAATCATACGGCGGGTGCAATAAAATAACGAAAATCTGTCTTCCGACATACATTTACACGGGGCTTTTTTTTAGAAAAAGCCAAGCAGGAACTCATTAGCATAACAGGCCACACCCAATGGTAGAAATTCATTAGCATATTAGGCCACACCCCCATGTTGCCACACCCACCTTTCGCTTCTTATTCTGTTTTCTTTGTTTGTTGTAAAAACCCTAGGGGGTTTTTTGTAGCAAGAACGTCTTTGCATGTTAGGCCACACACCCCTAATGTAGCCAATCCTAATGAGTTTCTGCTGTTAGGTGTGGTCTATTATGCTAATGAATTCCTGCAGGGCGTGGTCAACTGGGTGTGGCCAACTCAGGAGCCAGCCGGAACTCCCTTCCTGTGCGTTCCTGCCCCAAAATAGCCCTGCACTTACATACCTGAAGGCAAGCAGGTTATGACAACTTCAAATCAGCATAAGAAACAAAACAGCAGGTGGGAGATGCAGCAAGATGGTCCTGACTAGGGATGAGCATGAACCAGGAAAATGGAGGTTTGTGGTGGTTCATGGGAGCTTATGAACCACGGCTCATGAGCCTCCATGAACTTTTCCATTGAACAAACCAGTTCGAGTTGGTGAGATTCGTGCAGCTGCCAAGATGCAAGCCAGTTCAGCGATGCCCAGGGCTTTTTTTGTAGAAAAAGCCCAGCAGGGACTCATTAGCATAATAGGCCACACCCAACAGCAACCCCAATTAGCATATTAGGCCACACTCCTGACAGCACATCTCATTAGCATATTAGGCCACACACCCCTCGTTACCAGAAGTGTGGTAATCCAGCCACACCCATCGTTTGCTTCTTATTCTGTTTACTTTGTTTGTTGTCAAAACCCAGGGCTTTTTTGTAGCAGGAACTTCTTTGCATGCTAGGCCACACACCCCTAATGTAGCCAATCCTAATGAGTTTCTGCTGTTGGGTGTGGCCTATTATGCTAATCAGTTTCTGCTGGGCATGGCCCACTCGGGAGCCAGCCCGAACTCCGTTCCTGTGCATTCCTTCCTGCCCAAAAATAGCCCTGGGATGCCTTTCTCTCTCTCACACACACACCCCGTGGAAGCCATGGCAGCTCTTTCAAATGAACTCAAAAGGTATTTAAATGCCTTCTGACACCTCGCTCATGTTGCACCAGCGACACAGCACAACTCACATAAGTCAACTTGAATTGACATGCGCAAGTCGTGCCACAGTGGCACAACACAAATGAACTTCTGAGCTCACTCGCGGTGCACTGCCACGAACTGAATGAACCGGCACAAAAACCATGGCTGTCTGTGGGCATTTCACAAACAGCGCAATTGTACAAATTGTGGTTTGTCGTGAAATTCAGTTCGTAATTCGTTTTGTGCCCACCCCTAGTCCTGGCCCATTACTGGTCCTGATGGTATTATTGGGCTATGCTTGGGGAAAAAACTTGTGCAGGTGGTTATAAGCTAACTTTTATAGGAAACTGAACCACTCACCCTCTGACCAGTATAAGCCAATCAAGAACATGATCCAAATAAATAAATTATGATTCTTGGAAAAGAGCAGGACTCACTCCTCCCATCTGTGAGTAGTTAAGTCAGATATTCAAATGTGCAATCTCAGACTTTCCATCTTGGCTTGGGAACAGCGGAAGTGTAAGCACTTGATATGGAACTCTTGGATGGCACATCAGGAAACACGCTATTGCTTTAAATTTATGACATGGCCAAAAGCTGACTTTTTAACTGTCGGGTTAATAGATACAGAGGTCACCATCTCTCTTGAGCCCAGACTCCACCATATATGGAATACTATCATGATCGTGAGCACCTGATATAGCCCCTAGACTGTGAACCTCCAAGTGCTGTCTGGGAGTTCTTCAACTATTTTAAAAATAATCTTTTTGTTTTTTTAATTTGAATGCCGTTCTGCACAAAAAATGCATTTTTGATAGCCATAGGTTGTCTTGAGGTTATGTAGGGAGATGTTATTTTTTTTAGTATTCAAAGCATGTTTTCTAACCTAGAAAATGTAATTCCTCATCTCCCAAGTTGGCATACCATTGCTATAATATTAGGATATGGTTGAATGGATAATTCCCTGGTCTGATACTGGCAATGTGTGATAGTAGTCCCTGTCACAGTTTTCCTGTTTTGTGAATTGTTTTGTTTTTTTTAATCTCCATGACTACACTTTTCTGCTACACCAGGCTCATCTATATATATAAAAGAAAGTCTCCTCACCGTAAAATCAATGCCCAGGCCAAACCTCTGGACCTAAAGACACCAAACTCAGGGAGAGCGCTCCTACTGTGGCATAGGTGCTCACTAAGAAGGGATTTTTAGAAATTCGACCCCTAAGTGGGTCAAAAGGGGTAAAATGTGCTCCCCCCATTGATTCCTATGCGGCTGCCAGGCAGCTGCCTCACTGCACCCCCCATTCTCTGATTCGTCAGCTGCAGAACTCAGTGTTTTGAGGTAAAAAATCCAACAGTTAGAGGGGAGAGCTAATGACAGTTGAGGAAATCAAGAGTGACCAACAACCACCTGTGAGGTGAAGCAAAGCTGATGGCCCAGCCTCTCTGATGGCGTCCAACAACCCCCCACCCCCTACACCTAACAGGCGGTTGTCTGTCAGGTGCAGCCCCACTTCCACAGTGGCTTCTAATACTCCTCATCCCCCCCTCCTACACTGGACAGGCAGCTGCCTGTCAGGTGTAGGAGAAGAGGCGGGATG